CTGATACTTCGTATTTAACCATATTCAGGTTACGGTATCTCGCAGTGCTTAACACCACCTTACTCGTACCCTAATGAAGTAAACAGTCATCTTTCACTGATAAGTTTGAAGTCGGAGCGGAACGATTGCATTGCTTGTTCGATGTGAAGTCCTGGTTACTCACTAGGTCGCTGACCCTGCCCTCGACAAAGCTATCATTCCCACCGATTTAGCATGCTACGAGGATCGTAATTGCCGTAAACCTGTCACGTATCGTGACGTAATTGGTGGGCTAAGAGACAGTGAAAGTGTCATGTCTCATGGTGGCCACTAAATCACTCGTCATCCGGACCCCAACGTCTGCTAATACGATTAACCCCATGACGGATAGACACGTTTTTGTGACTCAATTCCAAGGATAAGCTCTTCTGATGACGAAAATCTCGTTGATTACTTTCTATAGGGTCCTTGTGCATGTGACATCTCTAGAGTACCCCTTTTCGTTTCTTAAAGTCCCACGCCTAGTTGGTTGCCATTGGCTAACCGTTGGTGAGGACTCATCGGCTGGACTTGATGACAGAAGGAATAAGCCTGTTCAAATGCTTTAGCTTCCATTTTTCTGTAGGAGCGCTTTTATTTCTACGACACATCTTCGGAATTTGGGACAGCACGAAATAGAAAATTCACGGTACTTTTTGTTTTCGCGGTTTGGCCTTTCGAGATCCGCGGCCTGCTAAAAAGCCCCCTTAGTGTAAAAACTCTAGCTCTCGCATCGTACCATTCTGTAGAACCATCTCAATGGCTCCGCGGCCGCCAAGCAACGAAATGTCCGCAAGAAGGGGATTTAGTTAGTGGTTGAATAGATGGTCTCGTTATACCTTTACTTACCTTTTGGTCTCGTTATCCATGGATTGATGTCAAGAGGCGTATGTGTTACATTGGCGTTTCTGAACGCCGCCCCACCTTCCCTCCTCCTCATAAAATATTGCGACTCCCTTAAACGTGTATGACAACGGTCATAAATATACTGATAAACTTTTACGGCTATTGTTGAGCGACTTCCGTGCGCCATCTGCCGGTTGCGCAACGCGAAAGGTATCCATTCCTATGATCCTCATTAGGAGCGGTGATAACCCGGTAGCCTTTGTTCCCGGCTGAGGGACACAATTTGTGAAGTGACCCGGATTATACTGGAATTTGATCAACAGCGCTTTCTCTTTGAGCAAGTCACCAAACAGATCCATGGCTTGCGCCATGCCCTCCTCATCCATTCGGAATTTCTAAGACAAACGATTGCATAGGGGAATCACGGCAACGGCAACTTACTGTGATTAGATATATGTGGGAAATCGCTCCTTCCCAGGAGATGACCCTAGGGTTGCAGAGGGTAATGCTGCTTGAGTGTAGACCGATCTAGCGACCTAAGAACTTTTTTGTGCTTCTCACCACAGCACCACCGAAGTGTTCAATACAATATGCTCCACTTCTTCCAGGGTTCGTGTGCGTGACATCAATACGGCATTCAAAGAACTCGGAAAGATGTGTGGACAGCATTTGCCGAATGCTAACGAGAAAGCCCAGACGAAACTTGGTATCCTTCATCAGGCCGTCTCCATCATCACCGCTCTCGAGGAACAGGTAGAGGTGGTTCTTACAAACTAATTTTCAAATTCAGTTAAATGATCTTGATTTTTTATTCTCTTACTAAGTCGATCTTTTCTCTGTACAGGTACGACAGCGCAATCTCAACCCGAAAGCCGCGTGCCTCAAACGACGATCTGAGGATGAGAAAATGACACCAAAGTGAGTTTGTGGCACGATCGATTATTGATTGCCTACGATCAATAGCCATGTTGTTCTTATGAGAATTTATCAGCTTCTACTAGAACTATCACTTTATCTTTTTAGCATTACTTATAATTTTTTGTAACTTACATTTTTCTATTTTCTTTCAAACCTTCCATCTTTGTTGGACGTAACAGAAAATACATCATCATTTGTAATAGCAAAAAGAGCTAGGAGTAACCAAATGGTTCGAGAATTCCTTTCGCCCTACGTAATATTACTGAGCGTAATGAATTTGGAAATCAGGCGCGCGGTTGCGAAACGGCCAGCTCTTTCTTCTTACTGTCAGCTGAAGTTGTCAAGGGTTACAGCTATGCGAAGTCTCGCATCTCTTGAGTTTTGTGGGCGTTTGCTATTACTCCTCTATTTTATTATATGTTTCTATATTTCTATTTCTCTGTTGGCTCAATTGGGTTCATCATCATTCCCGCTAGTCTCGAAGTCCTTCTTTTGCATTGCGTCATTATCTTAGAACAAGTAACTTAAGACCCCACTGCAAATTACACCCGTATAGGTTCCTAATTCTTCTTCTTTTATTCTCAGCGTTTGTCCCGTTTGTTGGCGGGGTCCGCTTTTCTGATATGCTGACGCCACTTTTTCCGATTAATGCTTGGTCGGGGTGTATGTTAACCGACTTCAAGTCTGTGTGCAACGTATCGAGCCAGCGCTGTTTCGGGCGTCCCTTAGGCCGTTTTCCGGACACGTCAAGGCTGAAGCTGATCTTACGGACACTGTCATCTTTTGCACGAAGAACATGACCGTACCATCGAAGACGGGCTTCGCGCATCTTGTCGGCAATTGGAGCCACACCGAATCGTTCTCTGATGACTTCGTTTCGAATGTGGTCTAGTCGAGTACTCGTATAGGTTCCTAATAATCCTGTAAAAAGCCTTGTGATGACTCTGTGTCCAATTTTAATTCCGGCCTTCGCTATTTGAAAGGAATCTTCAAATGTGTGTAATTATACCATAGTGTCTTGAGTTAGGATAGTGGTTAACGGCGGTGTACCACTTACCGAATAAACCAGATGTTAAGCTTGCTAGGCAAAACTGTGCAACATTCCTACTGTTGTTAATTGTTTAAGACTACTAGGGGATAAAACCTTATGGTTATACTATTTCGACATTATCCGTCGAACGCATTTATATGCTCCTATGATTCTGATTGGAATTACAGTGCGTCCCCTACGTAATATTACTGAGCGTAATGAATTTGGAAATCAGGCGCGCGGTTGCGAAACGGCCAGCTCTTTCTTCTTACTGTCAGCTGAAGTTGTCAAGGGTTACAGCTATGCGAAGTCTCGCATCTCTTGAGTTTTGTGGGCGTTTGCTATTACTCCTCTATTTTATTATATGTTTCTATATTTCTATTTCTCTGTTGGCTCAATTGGGTTCATCATCATTCCCGCTAGTCTCGAAGTCCTTCTTTTGCATTGCGTCATTATCTTAGAACAAGTAACTTAAGACCCCACTGCAAATTACACCCGTATAGGTTCCTAATTCTTCTTCTTTTATTCTCAGCGTTTGTCCCGTTTGTTGGCGGGGTCCGCTTTTCTGATATGCTGACGCCACTTTTTCCGATTAATGCTTGGTCGGGGTGTATGTTAACCGACTTCAAGTCTGTGTGCAACGTATCGAGCCAGCGCTGTTTCGGGCGTCCCTTAGGCCGTTTTCCGGACACGTCAAGGCTGAAGCTGATCTTACGGACACTGTCATCTTTTGCACGAAGAACATGACCGTACCATCGAAGACGGGCTTCGCGCATCTTGTCGGCAATTGGAGCCACACCGAATCGTTCTCTGATGACTTCGTTTCGAATGTGGTCTAGTCGAGTACTCGTATAGGTTCCTAATAATTACTGTAAAAAGCCTTCAGTGATGAATCTATGTGCAATTTTATTCCTGGCCTTCCGTTATCTTGAAAGGAATCCTTCAAATGTAATGTAATTATACCAGTAGTGTCTGGAGTTAGTGTAGTGGTTAACGGCGGGTACCACCTTACCGGGATAAAACCCAGATATTGGAAGTTGCCTAGGCGAACTGCGCCACCGATTCCTGCTGGGTTTGTTAATTGTTTAAGACTACTAGGGGATAAAACCTTATGGTTATACTATTTCGACATTATCCGCCGAACGCATTCATATGCTCCTATGATTCTGATTGGAGGCATTACTGTGGCGTACCCCCAGGTTGTTGAGCGTCAATCGCTTTAGTCTTCTTCATCCTGTGACAACAGCGTATCTTGCATTACTGGAGAAAAAAAAGTAACCATCCACCCATTCTTAATTGTTTTTTGGGTAGTTTTCTCCATCAGTCTTTGTATTTATAGTATTTTTAACTAATATTTATATACTGAATATGGTACATTAAAAGATTAAGTGGTTTTTTTTCTAAAAAAATCACAAAAACAGGGTGTGATATTATTCAAGCTTCTTCCAGTGCTCTAATGGAACAGAAGCCGCAAGCACACGATTATCACGGCCAGTACTAGGTCGTCGACTACCGTACTCATCGTCGTCTTCGTGGGGTCTACCGTAATCCGACGCCGACGACGTCAATTCGTCGAGATGCCTGGGTCCCTTCTCTTCGGATCCGCCGTGCCGTACCTATTATTATATGCAGTTTACTATAATTCGTAATTAATTAGACGCCATTGTTTGTTTGATTTCTGATCTTCATAATTTCCATCAGAATAACCAGTACATCATCATCAGCTCGTGCTGGGCTTGTGTTCATTAGCGATTTCTCGACATATTATCGATTATACATTATCGATTTCTGTGATTTACGCGCGTAATATATCATCTAATTCGATTGGTCTACGTATAAGATCGCCCTGCTGTGGTTGGGTAGTGATGAAGCCTGCTAGCAGCTTACACTCATTGTGCACAAATATTCTAACCCTCGAAAAATTAAAAAAAACTGATTTTCGAAAAATTCTTCAGGAGGGGGCTATCCCAAATCCTCTTGCCACCGGTTTTCGATCCATATTTTCACGTTTCTCTGCTCCTTGACACATGGATAGTCTTAAATGATTTGCTCTTGATCGCCCGAAAACTCGTCCACTATCGCTGACAGTGCAACTCGTCCCATTGAACCCTTTCTAATAAATTTTGAGTAAGTTCTATTATGTGTATATTCTATTCATATCCATTATTGATTGATTGATTGATTAAAGCGCATGTGTGTGTTTCGGCGATTCTTTCTATCCTTGTTCAAGTGTCTTCACATAGGTCAATTGTGGCATATATACATACATCGACGACGCGCACACAGTGCACATCACGTCTGGTTCCGTTTTTTTTTGATTTTAGCATTTTCTGTTGTAATTTCGATCGATAAACTATTTGTGCAAGCATAATGTGTTGAATGATGTGCTTGACACAACTGCAATTGGTTGATATGCTTATTATAAAAGGCAAGCAAAAGGGGCGGAGCTTCCCACAGAGAGGAGGAGCTCCGCCATTGGATAGTCGCTTG